AAGGGGGAGGCGGGCGCTGTTCCTGGAAGAGCCCGGCCCGGGGAGTTGGTCACATTCTTGGCCGGGATTCAATGACTGAGGCAGACACCAACAAACAGAGGGGGGGAGGCGGAGGGCGGGAGGCTGAGCCCGCCTGCATTAGCTCAGCTCTCAGGCACTCTCAGTCACTGCTGGAAAGAGGAGCTGGGAGGATGTGCGCGCTCTCACCGCGGCTCCCCACGGCACAACGAGAGCACCGGCAGAAATAAGGGAAGGAAGGCGAACCGCGAGCCGAGGAGCCCTCCCAGGCCGAGCAGAGGGAGCACGAGGGGCAGCGGAGCCGCTCTTTGCCCGTGCGGAGCCCCCGCGCCGCTTTGGCACTGCCGGAGATCTGGGCCTTTTCTCCTGCGTTGTTCCTTCCACAGAGCGAGCGTGCTGCCTCCTCCTGCTTTTTACTTTCCTCCCCCGCGCCTTCCCTCGGTGGATATGGACAGAAGGGGGATCACTGCAGAGAAGCAGCAGCCGCCAGAACATATTTGAGCCCCGGGTGCTCGGAGCGTGGCACAGACTTTTTGTGTTTCTGTGGGTGGTGTGTGTGTGTGTATGTGTGTGTGTGAGTGAGTGTGTGTGTGTGTGTGTGTGTGTTGGAGGTGTGGGAGGAGGGATTGGTTTGCCTGGGGGTTGGCTGAGGGGGTGAGTGCTCGGATGAAGACCTCTTTTTGCCGTGATTCTGTGCTCCATCGGGGCAGCTTGGAGACTTGGAGGGTTTGAAATTGTAACGCGAAGCAAGAGGAAAGAAAGAAGAGAGAGACACGCATACAAAAGGATTTATTTCCTCTCCGTTAGTGGATTGCTGAGTGAGAAGGAGGAAAAACACAAGGGTGGGTTGTTTTATTTTGTTAATATATTTTCCTTTAAAAAAATCCCTTTAAGTGGATTTGCACCAGGGTGGAAGATAATTGGGGATTTTTGCTGTTTGTTTTGGGAATAGAAACTAAAAAATGGAGACTGTAAGTAGAAGCAGCTTCCAGCCTCATCCAGGACTGCAGAAGACCTTGGAACAGTTTCATCTGAGCTCTATGAGCTCCCTGGGTGGCCCTGCTGCTTTCTCAGCACGATGGGCACAGGAGATGTACAAGAAAGACAATGGCAAAGACCCAGCGGAACCTGTACTGCATCTGCCCCCGATCCAGCCTCCTCCGGTCATGCCCGGTCCCTTCTTCATGCCCTCGGACAGATCCACGGAGAGGTGCGAGACCATCCTGGAAGGGGAAACCATCTCCTGCTTCGTGGTGGGCGGAGAGAAGCGGCTTTGCTTGCCCCAGATCCTGAACTCGGTGCTCAGGGACTTCTCCCTGCAGCAGATTAATTCGGTGTGTGATGAGCTACATATTTACTGCTCCAGATGCACTGCTGACCAGCTGGAAATCCTCAAAGTCATGGGCATCCTGCCCTTCTCCGCTCCTTCCTGCGGGCTCATCACGAAAACTGATGCTGAGAGGCTTTGTAACGCCTTGCTTTATGGTGGCACCTATCCTCCCCACTGCAAGAAGGAATTCTCTAGCACAATTGAGCTGGAGCTCACGGAGAAGAGCTTCAAGGTGTATCATGAGTGCTTTGGGAAGTGTAAGGGACTCCTGGTGCCAGAGCTTTACAGTAACCCCAGCGCAGCCTGCATCCAGTGCTTGGACTGCAGGCTCATGTACCCACCTCACAAATTTGTGGTCCACTCTCACAAATCGCTGGAAAACAGGACTTGCCACTGGGGCTTTGACTCTGCAAACTGGAGATCCTATATCCTCCTCAGCCAGGATTATACTGGGAAAGAGGAGAAAGCTAGACTGGGCCAGCTCTTAGATGAAATGAAAGAAAAATTTGACTATAACAACAAATACAAGAGGAAAGCCCCCCGGGTAAGTGGTGCCTGTAATTTTAAAGGGGGCGGGGGGAATTTCGGTAACATTCATCGATATACCCAAATTGTTACCAGCTGCTTTTCCTTGGAGTCATTTTGCAATTTTAATCGTGTTCTCCATTCTCCCCGCGTGTGTGTCACTGTGGAGGAGCAGTGCTCGAGATGGCACCTCTATTTCTCTGCTTGTGTTCTAGCCACGGTGGTTGGAGTTTGTTTAAATTACGTACGTGTATTTGTATATTTTACTATGTGTGGACCTTGATCTTTGAAGCCCATCACGCTGCCCCAGACTTTATCTGGCAGTGCGTGATTTCGGGTCTGTAAGGGCTTCTTCACTCTGGGGTCGAGGCAAGGAAGAAGGCAGAAAAAGGGAGCAGGTACTGGTGATTCCACACACAAGTCCGTGCACTTTTCTGGTCGATGGAGTGTGGCCAGGGATGGACGTGCGGGCTGAGTGCTCTCGATGCTTGTATGGAAATATAATGTGCCTGTTAAGAAAAAAAAAAAAAATGCCGGTAGTGCAGGTTACTGGTTTATAGATGAAGTGTTCAGAACGTGAATGGAGAAGTTCCTGCTTTTAAAGTATCCCTGCGGAGCCTAAATTTCCCCAGCAGACAGGCTTTTGTATATTGGATTATGTATACATCCAGCAAATGACTCTGTCTAGGGCCAGCTGCAGCAGCTCCTTGAGGTGTTCCGTGCCGTGCCGTGCTGAGCCAGACAGCTCAAGCACAGTTTTTTTTTAGGTGCCACTTGTTTTTCTTTCAGTCTGAGCTGCCTTTAGATCCCAGAATCCCTGGTGTGTGGGTGGGAGCTGCCTTGGCATCTGGCAGCGCTCCTGCTCCATGGGCAGCGGTGCCGCAAGGCCTTGGGGACTCGCAGACACCGGCGTGTCTGTCTGGCTCCTGCCCTGGTGCCACTGGCTGGGGATGAGCAATTGTGCTTCCTGCTCCTTCCCCCGGTGCCAGGGCAAAACAAACTCCCGGTCCCGAGTTCTCCCCTGCAGGTTTGTTATTCGGGCTCTGCCTCGCTGTCAGAGATTGCCAAACTTTGGGGGTTTGTGTCTGGAGTGGAAGGGCAATACATAAGCCTGGAAAAGAGAAGATGTTTAAAGCCCACTGTGAAAATTTTGATTTAACTTACCAAATTCCTGTTTAAAGGGGCAGACACACACTCTGACTAAGGTAGAGTTGCACTCTATCTTTTTTTTATTTATAAAAAACGTGCTACAAAAATATCCAAGCAAACCCCAGATTTAAAATAAAATATGCTATGCAAACAGTACAGTAATTCCACCAGTGCAGGAGGCCTAGTGAGCCCATCTGACCGGGCTGCACACTTCTGGATTAAGGAGCAGAGTCTGACTCTTCCAGTTTCTCTCCTGGCCCCCGGCTCCGTCCTTGTCCTCACCCCTCCTCTTCCTCCCCGGCGTGTCAGGACGCTGTGACAAAGCTGGGCTGTAATGAGGCACATTATCCCCGTGGTTGGAGGTGGATGTGTTTTTAATGGCTTGTCTATTCTCCGTCAGTCATGTGCCGAGATGGAATGGTGGGGTAGATCTACATGGATGTGAGAGGAGAATATGGCTCTCAAACTGGAGACATTTTCATGCTAGGAAAGGAATTGAATTTTCTAGGGCATGCTTCGTTTGGGAAGTAAAATGAAGAAATTTCCACGTTGTTGTTGTAGAAACAGTTGTCCTGTTCCCTTGGCTTGGTCATTTCCAGAGTTTAAAATGAGTGTTAGTAGAGAAGTGCTTTACTTTTCTTGCAAGGCTTTTTCAGTGTTCTCTTCAGCTGCATCCTTTATCCAACACCTCAGGCGAGGCTGCAGAAGGAGAACAAGCAAAGGTTACTAAACCTTGGCTGTGCCTCAGTTTTTTTGGGGACCCTTTCATGGGTCCTAGTTCAGAATATGAGAAACACTCTTCCCTCACTTTCCAAAATCTGCCTAGAGTGCAGAGTGAATTGTAGATACCTAATAGTGAATGCCAAAAATTGTGTGAGGAAATGGTGGCCATCTATTTTCTAGAAAATTTTGCCAGAAATCCATCATGAAATGCTAAAGTCTCCTGCATAAATTCATTTGGAAGGTGGCAAGGAGTGAGGTGGGGAAGAATGGTGTGTGCTCAGACTATGGGGTAGGAAAAACAGAATGTTTTACCTCATATTAAGTTCCAAGGCCTTCAGGACTCTTGCATTAAAGCAGTGCAGTCCTGAGGAGACCCTGACGGTGCTGGCAGAGTTCTGTACTCTTATCCTTCCTTTTCCTGAAGTCTTTTTCCATTGGGCTTAGCCAACGGATATCATATGCTAAGGTCATTTGTGTTGTAGCAGTGTGTGTGGATAATTACGGAGAGATTTAATCAGGCTCTAAGATTGGTAGGCTGTGGCCAGGGGCAAGTAACATTGGAGTAAAGTTTAGATGCCTGGTGAGGAAGTGACAGGATGGTCCCATTCCGTGTGTGTCAGATCCTGTGTGGGTTTTGTGTGTCTGGGGATGAAAGGGTGAAGCACATGTGTCTTTGTGGTGGGCTTCCTTTTTGATGTAGATCTCAGCTTGGCTTTGTTCTGTTTCATACAGAGGTGTTCTGTGCCTGGTGTGCCATAAGCTGCTGTGTCAGATTTTGGGTTTTCTGCTTTCAGGAGTGACCTTTTTTTTCAGTTTCTCAATTTATTTATTTCTCTGTGTGTGTACACACTTTGCTTTGTGTGGTGTGTTTTCCCTGGAGCTCTGGTAGTATGTTGGTAGCATGGGATGCATATGACCAATTTTATGGCTGTTTAGGCAGCAGTGAGTGTTTTGACCTTTTCATGTGTCTCCATGAGGTTTCTGTGATGAGGTCTGGAGATTTCTGCCAGCACAGCTCTGCCTTTTAAGGGTCTGACTTAAATGGAGGAGCTGGGTTGGCACAAGCCCCTGGTGCAGATTCAGCGTAGTGGCAGAACTGCCTTTTTTTCCTCTCTTTTTTTTTTTCCCCTTTTCATTTTTTTTCCTTGGCGTGGTTTTAAAGCTTTGCTAAAGGCGTAGCTTTTCCTAGATATTTCATTCCCAGTGCATATTTCTCTCTACATCTGTAGTGATATCCATCCTTCTGTAGGAGATGGATGTGTGGATGCAGAGCTCTCCTCTCTCTGTCAGCCCTGTTGGTTGAACAAGACTCCTGTTGCCTGGTCTTGCCACTTGCAGAGGAATCCTTTGTCCAGACCTGTGTGAAGTCAACAAAGGGTCCTCACCAAAAGCTGGAGGGAGTTGTGACAGCTGGGGCTCCCCACTAGAGCAGCGACCAAAAAGGCCTCAGTCACATTCCTTACACTATTCTAAAATTTTGGGTTTTATATCCTCCTTGTTCATGCTTGGATGAGTAACTGACCTCCCATAGGGTCTGTCACCTTGATGCGACTTCCCAAAGCTCTTTCTTCTCTTGAGCTGTGTAACTTCTCCATTTTACTGACTTGGTGTCCTTCTCTGGGTGTTCCACCTCCCCATGCAGGGTTTGTTGTGCTTTGCTTTCTCTCTGCACCAGCACAGCTTTTACTTGGGTGGGTGTCCTGTTTCCCTACCTGTCTCATCTCATCCACCATTACTGCTGTGGAGCACAATCAAGAGAAATTCTGGGGTATTTCTAGAAATTCAAAATGTGGATAACCCGATGGGGTTGCAAAACAGGGTCCTAGAAATGCAGCATGAGTGCCAAAACCTTTTCTTGGGCTCAGCCCCTGGTGTGCTCTCCTGTGGGACCGAGGTGGCCTCGGTGTGTCTGTGGCACTGCTCTCCCCTCACTCTGTGTGACAGACAGCTCCCTGCTTGCCTCACATCAGGATGCTGCACTCACACAGAATGAGCTCAGACGCAGCCCTGAAGGCTTTGTTGGTTGCTATTTCCAGAAGAGGAGGGTGGGTTCAGCTGTGTCTATTTCGAACCCTTTTTCTCCAATACTGAACCGAGCAACATTGGAGGGCACTTTGAGCTTCCCCACCCGTGTGCCAGACGCGTACCCTGGGCAGGCCTGGCTGTGAGCAGGGCCCAGGAGAGGCAGAGCTGTCCTTGCACGCGTGTGAGCACACCCACACACCCAGCGCTGCCGTGTTCCCACGGTTCAAGTCCCAGCAGCACTTCTATGAAGTAGCTGGAAGCCAGGAGCAGCATTCTGGGTACTGACACACAAATGAGCACATGAGGCCTCCCACTTTATTTCACAATGCCTCCCAACCCAGCGCTGCCACAACATGCAGCTCGCTCAGCTGGAGGAAGGTTTAGCCAGGTCAAGTGTGCAGCAGAATCAAAGAACCCAAATTGCTGCGGGCGGAGGGAGGACGTGGGCTTTTAGGTGCTGCCCAGGGCTTGCTGTGCTGTGCTTTATGGCCACCTGAAAGGCTGCAGGAGTCGAGCTGGAATTTGTGTCTTATCCCAAAGTCCTGCCTTCTGGCAGTAGGAACCTTTATTTGTTAGTGGGTATGTCCTGTGGTGGGTGCAGCAGAGCGATTCTGAGTTGTGATGTTCAGACTGCAGGATGGATTTATTCCTCTTGGTAGAAACTGATGGGAAAAATACTGTTGCAAAATTTTTGCCTGACAACTGGGAGTTCAGTTGTTTTCCCATGGAATGTTGAAGTCGTGTGTTCTATCTGGTGTTCAAGAATTGTTTTAGAGATTCTCCAGCAAAAATTTAGAAGTCTCTAAAACAAAAACATTGCTGTCTTGGGGCAGTAGTTTAGTTCAGAAGTCTTTGCTGCTTAAATGTTGAACTTCAAAAGTGACACCAGCTTGAATGAAATCCCGTGTACCCAGGGAGAGGACAGTGTTTAGCAAACATCAGCAGTTTTGTCCCAGGCGTGCAAACAGTTTTACAGATGTTGTAGATGCAGAACAAAGCAGCAGGTACGTGCATGTGTGTTGGACAAAAAGTTTGCTGCCAGTGATCTCATGGTGTTGAGTCAACCACGGCTCTCTCTTGCTCCAGAAGAGTTCCTAAGTTCCTCAAGTCAGTTCTCTTGAA